GATAGTTACAGACTGTGAGAATTTCTATCTTTGTCCTCAGAGGTGACACCGCATATAGTTTTCTTTGTTTGAAATCAGGTGGATTTAAGTTCCTTTGTCACTTTAATTTAATAATTAAAAAAAAAACTCATACAATATCTCATCCAGCAACAGGAATGCATATTCATAACCATATCATAAACACTCACGCCTGTCACATAGAGGGGTTCGTAGTCTCTACTACGAACTTCCATTTGGCACGATCGATACTGTTCATCTGGCTCATCTTGAATATATCGCCAATTTGATCGATAACCTTCGTCTAAGGCGTCCCTTCCAGACTCTTCGGTTCATTTCTGCAACATAGATTTGCTTTCTCGCTCTTTCCTCGTTCATTCTTTCTACATGACCAAACCACCGAAGCATTCCTTTCTTAATCCTGGTCACAAAGTCATCTTGTAAACCACACTCTTCTCTTATCACACAATTTCTCACAGTCATTCAGATTCAGCCCTAACATACTCCTTAATGACCGCATTTCTACAGCATTTATTCTGCTCTCGTGCTTCTTCTGCCACACCCAACTTTCACTACCATATTAACGTATGTAGCAGGGGGATGAATATTCAATACAGATCATTCACTGAGAATGAACTGCCTAATATTACCCTAATTGACAAACAAGTTTCTGGCGAACGGCAGGTATTCTGCCTATGTTAGGCAAATTATTGCAGCGGTTAAAGCATATTTTTCACAACTGCCCCTATAATTTTATATGCGGAGCGCAGTTTCAACTTTGACTACTTCTACCGAACACATGGGGTATTACAGCATGAAATCAATCAATCCAGCAGGATTTCATATGGAATCTAGGACATATGGACCATATATGACTTTTTTGTAGGACGATTTTTTTAACTATTACGACTATGGATTTCAACTGTTCGCGGGACTATTTCGCAGAATCCTGTACGGTTGCCACCTGTTCCATTAGTTTTATGACTTACTTTATAAATTGCTCAAGAAAATAAGAAAATGCTTTTTACCTCTAAATCTTTCTTTCAATTTTTTTTTTATAGGATAAGGGTGACAAACGAGCACGCAGTTCACCTGATGGTAAGTGGTTACTGCGGCCCATAGACTTCTACATCTATCCTCTATTACAACTCAAAATGTAGATGCGTTGTCACCCGTGAGGACTAAGATGGAATGCCTCATTTCCAGTAAAAAGGGCCTCCGGCCACCTGCACTCACCAAGCGAAACGCAGAGGTAAACCTCTACTTCACGCTGGTTTTCTGTGAGGTCGTGGTACCACCCCGGTCCAAGCCGGCCCATCCGTGCGGCAGCAAAAGCTGCCGCGTGGCTCTACCACTGTTGAAAACAACAATTTTACAAGATTTCAATGTTTACATTTTAGATCTAAACCTCAAACGTTATTTAATGCTAAATATTAAATTAATATGACATACAAGTGACCTTTTTTAAAGTCAGGAAAAAGGTGTAGTATGTTAACGAAGAAGTAGCCTATATCATTATTATTGTTTTTTATTGACATTTTATCCTCGCATCTGATTCAAGATCTAGGGCAACACAAATTCGTTGATACTTGCCACGAGTAAAGTAAAGAGAGGTTGATTACCAGAACAAATGATGTTAATTTCGTTATTTTTAATTATTAAAATAAAAAAATATTAAAATAAATATCTATGCCATAGGCTTTCTACTTAGTTTGCTTATTACACCCTATTTTTTCCTCACGGTAAGAGTCACCAGGTCTAAGTGTAACAATACCTTCACAAAATACATCTATGGCAATTGAAGATTTAAGGTAAATCGTGAATGAACGAAAGCAATAACCATCATTAATATAAAATAAGTACTAAATAAGAATTGATTACAATCTTAACATTTTTAGTTAGGACTAATGTAGAAGCTTTTATTAGACTTTGTGTCATACCTAATAAAAAAAAGTAAACCCTATCTATTTATCTATATTCTTAATATATTTTAATGCACGGATATTAGAATTAATATGAATAAAATATGAACAAAAAAAACCAGGAGTTATAAAATGAAAACACGATTATAGTGTTTTAAAGGATTTATTTGAAATATTATCAGCGTGAGGTTCGGGTATTTGCTATTTACATGTCAACGATAAAATTGTAAAGTTGCGATCACGTTTTATTTTACGTACTGCTTACGAAGCCTGTGCCGTGTCAGAAAATCAACAAATGGAACGTGACTGCCAAACCGAACGTAACACAAAACGTTTTAAATTCTATCGCAAGCACAGACAGTAGTTGTAAATAATCCCAAATATAAAACAAAATATATGTGATTTACAAATCTGGAAACTATTTTTGTAAAATATTGCTTCTAGTACATTAGATCAATACTACTAATAAATAAAAAATTAAGAAGAAAATAAGTATGTACAATGCGATTCAAATAAGAATAGGAAGGTCAATGACCTCTGTTATTTGAAAAGTACGGCTTGGATAGAAAATTGATTTGTGTATTAACAAAGCTTTTTTTATCTTCTTCCAAATCTATTTGTCTGATAAATTTAGTTTTATAATTTAATTTAAAATATTGATAACAGTCGATTGAAAGTCTTAAATATATCTACATATTCTATTTTTATAGGAGAAATCAGCAGAAATAATTGGAATTGAAGTGCTAGATTCAGATTTATTTTTTGCATGGCTCTTTTGCAAATAAATATTATTTCAGTTATATCCGTTTCGCTCACCCTACCTAACTGGTTTGAATTAACAGCTAAAACTTCACAATATGGCGCAAGGTCATTCCTATTTTTATTTGAGTAACATAGTATATTAAAATTTAATAATTTAATTAGTTTAATATATTAAAATTAGAATAGATATAAATCTCCAATAATAAAGTAGCCAAAATCTCGTTAAAATCATTTTAATACCCACTTAATAATGTTGACTGTATAGTTTATTAAAAAAGCTCGTTGGAATGACGTATTTTAAATACACGTGTATATGTCATATAAATCTGGTAAAGGCTAGCAGTGAAAATCTCACTAATAAAAAAAATAGATTATTAAAATCATAAGATTTATATCTTAAGCGCTAAAGTAAATAAATAATACTAATATACAATTACTGCGGGACCGGCCGTATTATTTTATAAAATTTAAGCAAAAAAAAAACTATTGCTATCGGTACAAGTGAACAGATAAATCAGCTATATAGTTAGATGGCAAATAAAATGTCCAGAATCAACCCAAAATGTTACAATGTATTAAATGAAGTTAAGGAACTTAATATAGCAGCAAACGTCCCGCAGATGCGTGCTATATACAACACAGAGCAGCTCGCAACAGCGACACTAAATCTACACTGCATTCAACTACGCTTGGCGCACATTTCACCCGTACCCAACTCATTACATTGAAAATCGTGAACAATCCTTACCAATATTACACCATTAGTGAACAAGTTCCTTTACAATTCAAAAAGTACCATACAACACTTTCCAGCGATTGTCAATAATTATCCATGTAAAAGATAGATAGGTTATATAATTTCACAATACACAACACTGTATACAGATTTTATAAAACCTTAATTGCCTTTATTTAATTGACATTTTTATGGATCTAAAGCAACGTCTTGTCATCAGTAAAAGGTATCTAATATAACAAAACAGAGCACACAAGTTCACCACACAAGCTCAGTCTTACAGACAAACGATTTCGCTTATTGTATAATATGTAACACGTAAACGTCGAAAGCGAATCTCATTTACAGTGCTGTATTTAAGTGCCTTTGTGTTTATGTAAAATTGCGGGAAAAAGTCTCAACACAACTATTTCCACAGGTGTTATACAGGATTTATGTCTGTGACATGAGCATTATCATATTTTATTTGAAAAGAAAATTCACCCAATTATTTCAATTCACAAACCCAAAATGAATTCTTAAAAATCATAATAAAATTAGGCTACATTTATTTTATTAATAAGTAGACCAAAGTATGACCAGGATAAATTTCATTTTGAAGAAAATAGAGGCTCCAAACATTGAACAAGTGAGCATAAACATTAAAGTAAAACATGTTACGTTTTATTTAGTGACATACCGGTAAAATTTATCAATTTATCAAAGTACAAATATTTAAAAAAAAAACAACTGTATTAAAATAGTTGCGTTGTGAAATTCCGATTTTTGCGTTAGAACTACTGAAATAAAGATAAAATCTAATATCACTTAGGCTGACACACAAAAGCACAATAGCATATTCCTCAGATCGTCTTGTCGCCCTAAACAATGAATGAAAATTCGTAAGCTTCGGTATGGTCCCAAAACACTTTCATAGGTAACAAAATAGTTATGTATTGCTGCTGTAATATAATAAAGAAAATACAGTTAAAGTTACAGCCTATAAAGTCCCACTGTTGGGCACAGGCCTATCCTCATATTTGACAGAGTTATAGAGCAATTAGTATGTCACAAACATGTCCTCGAAATATTCTATTCTTCAGACAAAATCAGCACTCACGATGTTTTCTTTCACCACCGAGCATGGTAAGTCGTCACACAAAATTGAATTTAACAATGTTATTGGCACTGTTAAATTAACGGTGGGCACTTAACCCCTAAGCTACCACGGCTCAAAAAAAGAAAATACAGTTAAATAAAAAATTACATTATTTACGTCGAGCAAAATTAACTAAGTATTCTAAAATAATTATTATTGCACAAGGAATTATGTTTTGCTTTTCAAACTTTATTTAAGGCGACAAATACAACACAACATCAAGCCTGCTGATTACACCGACTCACACCTTTACATAAGACGTGCAATTTTAAACTTTATGGCCTATGCCACTAGTCTCATTTTGCTCTGTGCCTGTCTCTACACATCTCTGGTAACTCTCGTTGTAGCCTGGATGTAACCAGCAGTGTCTTGTTACAATGTAGTCGGTACAACATCACGCTATACTCGGTAGCGAGCAGGCGGGTAGGCAGTCTCTGTAGAGGCGTTAGCACGCGCAGCCGCTGTCCGGCTCCTTGTTGTCGCCCGGCGCCTGGCGAAGTATCACCTCGTGCACTACGCACCATTAAGGAACATACAGGCTCTAGTATAAATGATAGAGACGAAACGATAGAAGAGAAAGATGGGAGGGGGGGGGGGGCATTTACATTGCCTATGATTACAAGAAACTGTGAATTTAAGTAAACAAATAAGATTTGTTTGCGCATAAATTAATGTCAAGTGGAAAACTTATAATCTTACTGATACAATATATTTAATATAGTTGTTTGTTTTAATTATTGTCAATTTAAATTGAATCTTTTTAATTTAAACAGTCCCGGCAAATTTAAATCATAACGGTAATCATTATTTATTTATATAATTACTTGTGACGATAATTTATTGTCATAAAATATAATATGATATGCAGTACTAACTTAAATTTTCTGTTTCAATTTGTCAAAACATTTTAAAAAATCACTAATTATTTAGGGAAGTAAATATAAATGCATTCTATTATACATATTTCTTTAACCATAGGCAGCAGAATGTAATAGAAATAAAAAGTTTCAAATGATATTTAAGCTACAATAATAAACCTTAAATACAGTACGTAGAATTTAAATTAACATATAAGTACACCTACACAGTATCGGTACTAAGATAATTTATAGAGCATGCTAAACAAAATGACATAGAGCTGATTTCCTTAAAAAGCATAGCTATGCACTAGAATACGTAAATAAAAAGTTAAATTATTAATTTAAATAAACGTGTAGAAAGAATAGTACTGTGTAAAATAAAAGATGAAGGTAGTGTCATTGTAAATAAAATATATAAATAATTATTACTACGTCATTACTACATTTAATTCAAAACAGCAATGCAAATAACTGACTAAATAGACAGAAATAAGGGCAATGTAAAAATCAACAACGTACGGAAAGACATGAAACATTAGTAATGTTAAATTTACTTACAACACAGATGTTAAACACATTAATACCACCACCGACACACAAACGGAGCCCGGGGACGTCACTAGCACAAGAACTTCATATGGGATAATTAAAAAGCATGTGTGAGATTAGCTACGAAATTTACTCATTATTGAGCTATATTCAACTTTAAACAATTTATCCTGTTGCTTGAATGCAATAACGTCACAGGTGTTCGAAATATTTTGAACTTCTCAGCCATTCATGTATTTTCACCATGTTTTCCTAAATCGCCAAACACGTGGTAAATCAGCCCTTAAAACTGCAATTAGTTTAGTTTACTGCAATTTAGTTTTAGTTTGATGGGCTCCAATTCCTCGTGTATCTAATTTTATAGAGAGCTATTATGTAGCTACTACTACCATAACGTAGCGATATATTACGTAAACATACAAAGTATAAATTAATATTATATTATTAACCGCATTAAGTTTAGTAGCATGCGGAACCCGTTAATTTTCTTTCGGATATATAATTTGCAATTGGGTCCCAAATGCTACCAAGCTTAATTAAAGCGGATATTTTACTTAGGCTTTCAGCTCATAATATAGTCTGTTACACCGAAGTAGAGTTTACTTTGTTTATAGTTTATTTAAATTTTGTTTTCTATTCTCAATCTTGTTTCGGTTTCTTTAGTGCATTACTATTAAATTGTCTTTTTAGCAGTCGGGTGTTTGATATTTTTTTTTATTTTATGTTAAGTGTCCCGACACAAACATGGCCGATTTTTACGCTATCAAAAACTTTTTAAACCAATTTATTATTCCTAATTCAATATGAACATATAACTTATTTGTAATCCCCTTTTATTTTTCCTTTATTTTGTTACCCTACACAATAAGTATGGTTAATTTTTTTTTACTAACCTATTACTATTTCGCGCCAAAAATCCGCGTTTTGTTTTATTTTGCAAACAGCTATCTAAGAACACTTGGGTTTAGAGAATACCTCAACTGTCGAAATCAATACAGCCGTTAGGAAGATTGATCGCGCGAAAAATTAGCAGTCGGGTAAAAATTCAACTGATGATCTAGCATCAATAGCAATAAACAAAACAAATGAAGTGTAGCCAAAACATAACATAAGTATATCTTGATTATTGTTTAAACATTGGTTTATAATACATTACCTAATCTCACACAAGTAAAAGTAAACCGTTTTAATAAGTCGCTTGGCGCACTTCGCCATCGTCCATTAGCCGATATTTCGTACATAATATAGCGAGACGGAATACAAATAAACCAAATTACGTATATAAGTGTCCAATACTGTGCGTGTATGCGAGCGTGATGTATGGGAGCTTATATGACTTGTGTATGAATACTGTATTGCTTGTAAAACTTTAACTATATTTAAACAATTGTAAAAAAGGATACTGTCTTCGGGTGGTTTGTTCTCGGCTGAGTCCATACCGGGGAGAGCAGCCGCCACTCGTCGGAACAGCTGGAATTTACGGCATTGGAAATGATTATTAAATCGAATATATTTAATCTATACATAAAAATAACACTGAAGAGTCTGACTGTAATATCAAATTACAGCTAATGTTGAAATAAAAAGTATTTTTAAATGTTTCTGTTTGTCACTCTTTGTCTGGCTTCTTCGGAATGTTCGAAGGTTATCATAAGATTGATATAATTTTTGTAATATATCGGCTTAGAATTGCCACCTGTATTACAATCGCATTGCTAATGAGGCAGTCAATAAGGCAAATGATACAAGCCAGGACCGTACTAACATGCTTTGAAATTATCTTCAGCAGTCGACTTGTAATGGAAAGTGATAATAGTGATGATGATCATGACGGTCGATCACAACTTTAGACCTACCTGTTTTACATTGTAGCCGGCCTTGGCGCTAGTTTCGATGAACATGACGTTGAGTTCCCGAGCCTTGCGATCGCCGTCCTCGGTGGACACTTGCCGCTTGTCCGACAGGTCGGTCTTGTTGCCCACTAGCATGATGATAACGTCGGACCCGCGTTCCGTGCGCACGTCATCGATCCACTTGGAGGTCTGATGGAACGAGTTCGCATCTGCAAGGAACAGCGTTATTGCTATCGTTAGTGGTTTTTTTTTCAGTAAATAAGCTAAGCTTAAGCATAGAATTGTTGAAAAATTCTGGTAATTTTGTTTATTTTCTTATATATCCATACGAGTAAACTCTTTTATTATTGTTATTGCACATAAATATTTTTTATAGGAAAGGGGTGACAAACGAGCACAGTCCACCTGATGGTATGTGGATTCTGTGGCCCATGGACGTCTACATCTATTCTCGATTAAGAATCAAAATGCAGATGCGTTGTCACCCTGACTAAGATTGAATGCCTCGTTTCTAGAAAAAAGGTTATCCGGTTCTCTACACTTAGCATACGAAACAAAGCAGCATTAAGCTGCTATTTTACGCTGGTATTCTGTGAGAGAATCCTATACCAGTCGACTATACCAGCTGCAGCGTAGCTCTACCATGTACAAAATGATATAAAATAGCTCCTGAAATTGTCATAATTAGACATATAAAACGTTTGTTTGCACGATAAACGCAATAAATCTTGGCGCTGCTCTTGTGTCAAAGCCGAAGATAATTATTTAACGACCTAAGAGAAGCACGTACAAGTATCAACGTGATGATGAGTAAATTTGTATCACTACTTAAATGTATAGCAAAAAAAATTAATTTTTTTATTAAGCACAAGTTGATACATGATTGATAATAACTCCTGGCAATGAGGTTATCGTTGCCATGCTATAAATAAAAGATTGAATATTTAATTTTACACCATATTATATTGTAAATGAATGTTAAAAGAGTCCTGCTGGATTTTTGATGATTCTTCTCAGGACGGCGGTTTTTACCGCGCCAAAAGCATGAATCACTTTTAATGAGTATTTTTATAATTTATATTGAATAAAAAATATTATATTGTATGTGGTAGCACGAATGGTTCAACGCGATCTGCAGGACCAAGATCTCTCAGCACATCAGCCTAAAATAGCAGCATAATGCTCCTATGCTTCGTATTATTAGTGACAAGAACCGGTGACCCTTTTTAACGGAACATGTCATTTTAATCCTCTGAGAGGTAGCAGCCATTTTAATTTATTCAGTTATCAAATGGATCACCTAAAACAGCACTTTTGAGGTCGTTGCTAAGACATAGTGTATAGAAGAAAAGTCCCGATTCAGGAGCTATTATGTGGAAATAATTTTATTATTTTCAGCTTACTTTAAAGGCATTTTAATTAGTATTAAAATAATTTAATTTTTTGCCACTTTGAGTGGAGTAAGGAATATCACAAGGTCAAGGTAACAACTAAGATGTCGTCAAAATACCTAATTACATTTAAAACTTTATTCCCTATTTTGTCACCCTTAGGAATGGATTTTTTTTAAATTTATATCGGCCCCTAAAGTATGACCTACTTAATAAAAAAAGAATCATTAAAATAGGTTCACAACTGCCAAAGATACCATTTTTATACATAGGTACGTATAAAGAGGGGGAAAAATAGAGTCGAAGTTAGAACCTCCTTCTTTTTTGAAGCCGGCTCAAAATACAGTAAAATTCTCTACACCGATGGGCCACCATTGTGAGTCAAAAAATATCACCTAGCATATTTCCTTAGCTTGCTCACAGACGGCAAAAAGCGGCGTCGCGTCGGAGGTATATTACGAACTTTTTGCGAATTATCCTACGTTGGGTTTTACAACGCAGCCACCACCCGAGGTCATAGTCATACTAAATTAAGTACAACTCTGACCTCGCTGTTTTACTAACGGTATCCGCGTAAGCTTGGAAAAGGTAACGGGCAGCGTTTTATTCGAACCGGCTCCACTCCTTTGCAAAATTGAAGTGCGGTTTATAGTTGTTTTTATTTAAATTCATTACGGAGGTCCGCCGTAAGCCGAGTTTTCGATAGGCGTGGTATCCCGGGGGTTAAGCGTTCGCTTTAAATTTCACAGTAGTCGAGCAATCCAGATTCGATCGATTAATTGCAAATTATTTTTTGGAGTGCTGATTTACCACGTGCTCAGCGGCTAACAAGTGCCAAAATTAAACATTTTGTACAAGTAACTTCTATATAAATAAAATGAGAACATCATCAATGTAGTCCAAGTCAATTAAATACGCAGTATTAAGGATAACTCAAAAACTATTGGTCAGATCTTGATCAAATTTATATGGAACCGTAGCTTTCAATTTAACTTTCACTTAAAATTAAAACGAAAGGATCATCAAAATCGGTTCACCTAGAAAGGTTCTGAGGTAACACACATTAAAAAAATACAGTCGAATTGAGAACTTCCTCCTTTTTTGAAGTCGGTTGAAAAGAACATTGTAAGGAAACTTGAAAGTCTGAGAAATAAAAAAATTGAAGATATGTGAAGTCCACCAACACTAAAACGTCGAAATGAGGCTTGTGCCCACGTATACAATATGTACTCGTAGTAGGTAGGAAGTAAGCTGCAACTTTAATTTACTTTAACTTTACAGAAATTCGAGTTCAACCCTCTATAAATTTCAAACATTATTTTTACGGTTTCCCCAAACAAAAAAGTACGTGGCTTTATACTCGTTACTTTAGAGCATAACAAGCTCGAGTACCACTGAAGTATCTTTAAGTATCGATCCGCGGGCTTAAATATTCAGTCTCAAAAGTACGGGAGCAGTCGAACTAGAGTCGTATAACTCGCATCGCACTCGCCGTCGCCGACCAGCTGGGATGACTTTACGAGCAATTAGTGACACTTTATCGCTTTATTTAAACAACTTACAGACATAAAACTTGTTTGTTTTTAATTAAACGGCGATTTTGCTTAACGGACGGTACGACTTTGATTTGATACATGTCTAAAACAAAGAGCTAAACAATAGTACAGTTTTAAAATAGAGTTAGATCAGTCTTAGGTAATTAACTCCTATACAAATAAATAATAATGTGAAAATTACAGATTTTTACTAAATGTATATGAAAGTATATATGGTACTTATAACAAAAAAAAAACAATTTTTTAAATTTGTGTCTGTCTGTCTCTCTGTTTGTTCCGGCCAATCTCCGAAGCGGCTGGACCGATTTCGACGGGATTTTCACTGGCAAATAGCTGATGTTATAAGGAGTAACTTAGGCTACTTTAATTTCATAAAAAAGGTACCGCGCAAAAAAAAAAATTAAAACCCATAAGATACAAACGTAATAAAGGTTAGTAACTCTAGTGCTAGTGGTTAGTATAGTATGGGTGATAGACGCGTCATAAAAATTGAAAAGAAGAATGTGTTCTTAAAGTAATAAGCTTCCACCAAAACGCAAAGGCACTATCGTTTCTTATCATTTATAACCAATGGAGGTCGTGATCGCGTGGTCCCGGGTTCTCCTAGATCGGGATATAATAATTTATTGGATTTTTCCGTCAAGAAGTAGTAACTAAGTAGCAACCAGGAGTCAGGAAATTCGGTGTTTTCACCCCCCGTGTTTTTGATAGCCGTAGGTCCGCTTGATCTCTTCCCAGTCATGTCGCATTTCCGTCCCATCGGACTATAAGAGTGAGTTAATAAAGAGTGTAACTGTGTATGCGTAGAATGTGCACTATAATCCTATCTTGCGCAAATAACTAGTCTGAATTTCAAAGGAAAATGTAAGAAAAGCTACAATGATATAAAACCCCGCCTGTCAAGGCAATGAAAGCTTCCAACACAATTTAACATTATTACATTAGTATTTTACGATAACTACTTAATTTCGTTGAAAGCATTTTATTAACAGTACTATAACATATTTTACTTTTCGATTTTTCTTTTACAATAATTATAACAGATGCGTTTAAGCGGCGGCTCCATGGCGCAGTGGGTTAGCAGCGTTGAGGGCCGCCGGGATAGGTTTCCGCACGAAACAATTCTTGTTATGGCCTACAAATAATTAATTTTTCTAGGTCTGGATACTTGTCCTTGTACATTTTATGTCTGTGCCTCTTCGATACAGCAGAAAAGTGTGATATATCACTATAAAAAAAATAGTTTTAATAAAATCGGTCCACAATCCACTACATTAATCATCCATCCACTACACGATTGATAATAACCCTGGGGATGAGGTGATCGCTACCATGTTGTTACTAATGTTTTCATACTAATTGTAATAAAATAATATATTGTAAATTTATTTTATTTAAAAAAGTCTCGCTAGTGTTTCTTGTTGGTTCTTCCCAGGACAGAGGTTTTTTCCAAACCAGCGGTAAAAGCTATATTGAAAAAAATATTCTATTCTATTCAAAAACAATAGAAACTTTCCCATAATGAATATTAAAGTGAGAAAAGTAGCGATTATGTGAAAACTAATCGTGTGCTGTTTGTTAATTGACTTTGAAAAGTAAATACTATGTTTTTTAATGTAAAAGTAGAAAGTAAATTTTAGTCTATATACGTCCCACCGCTGGGCCACGGCACGTTCCCATTTCTGAAAGGGTTTTCAAGTAACTGTACCGCCGCGCTGCTTAAGTGCGTGGTACATCAACTATTAAAAACTGCAATGAACAATTTCTTTGGTGCTGACGGTGATCGATCCCGTATTGTTACGACTCTAATATGTGTTATACAATATCTCCAAGGTTAGTTAACCGACATTGCGTTTTATTTACCCACAGACTATACAAATCCACAGTTGTACCAGATGAATTTCAACCACATATAGTGATTATTGAAGTCTAGTTACAAACAAATAAATAAAATTGAAGTGTCTGTTTGTAATGTCAAAATAACTGTTTTTACTAAATGCATATATATAGTAGATACTTATAACAAAAACACAATTTTTAATTTTATTGTCTGTCTGTCTGTTTGTTCCGGCTAATCTCCGAAATGGGCGTACCGAATTTGACGGGATTTTCACTGACAGATAGCTGATGTTATAAGGAGTAGCTTAGGCTACTTTTATTCTAGAAAAAGAATTAAGATTCCGCGCAAAACAATTAAAACCCTAAGTTACACTCGAGCTAAGTTGCGGGGAACAGATAGTGATTAGTAAAATGCTCCTTTTT